ATCCCCCTCCAAAAATGTTTCATTTTACATTTTAAGTAAAAAAACAAACAAAAAAGACAGATCATGTTTCTAACATGTACCATGGTAAAATTAATCCTGATGTGTCACTCCAGCATAGCACTGGACTGCTAACCTTAAGGTTGGTGGTTCAAATTCACCAGCTACTCCCCAGAAACCCTATACAGGGTCACTGTGAGTTGCAACTATCTTGACAGCACTTAACAACAACATGACCTACAAAACTAAATTAAGATAATCACCAGTATATATAACTTCAAACTGTATCTGCAAACATTTTTCTCATCTGGGGATAGAGTTGAAATAAAAATATAAAAAAATATTTTTAAATAGATGACCAGGATCTCATAAAAATTAGACACTTAAGTGCATCAAAAGGTTTTGCCAAAGAGTAAAAAGAGAGGTCAAAGACTGGAAAAAGTTTTTGCAATGACATACCAGACAAGGGTGTAATCTCTAAAATTTATAGAAAGTTGTAGCACCTATTCCAATACAAAGAAATCTGTGTGTTGAAAGACATACAGCCACGATGAGGAAACTTTGTCTCTCATACTTCAGACACATTCATTCCCAGAAGGGACCAGTCTCTGGAGAAGGTTGCTACATCTGGTAAGTAGAATGTCAGCAAAAAAGAGGAAGACCCCTAAAGAGATGGTGGCAGCAATGGCCTGAAGAGTAACAACAATTGTGAAAGTGGCTCAGGACTGGGCAGCAGTTTGCTCTGCTGTGTGTGGCATCGATATGAGTCAGAACCAACTAAATGGCACATAACAACAATACCTCTACAAGAAAAGACAAACTGAATTAAAAAATGGGCAGAGGACATGAACGGTCACTTCACCAAAGACATTCAGGCAGCCAACAAACATATAAAAAATGCTGACAATCCTTAGACATTTTTTGTTGTTATTAAGTGTTATTGAATTGGTTCTGATTCATAGAAACCATTTATAGAGATTCTGAGGAGTGGCTGGTGGGTTTGAACTACCAACTTTGTGGTTATCAGTCCAAGGCTTATCTTACAGCACTACAGCAAGATGCAAATCAAAACAGAAATGAGGTATCATCTCACCCAACCTTAGTAGCAAAGTTCAAAAAACAGAAAACAACAAATGTTGATGAGGGTGTGGAGAGACTGGGACTCTCCCAAATTGCTGGTATGACTGTAAAATGGTGCAACCTCTATGGAAAATGATATGACACTTCATCAAAAAGTTGGAAACAGAAATACCAAAAAACCCAGCAATCCCTCTACTTGGTATATTTCCACAAGAAATAATAGCCATGATCCAAGTAAATATATATACACACCCATGTTCATCACAGCATTATTCACAATAGCACAAAGATGGAGACAACCTAAATGCCCATCAATGGAAGAATAGATAAATACACTTTGGTACATACAATGGAATACTATGTAATGGTGAAAAATAATGATAAATCTGTGAAACACCTCATAACATGGATGAACCTGCACAAGTGAAATTAGTAAATCATAAAAGGACAAATATTGTATAAGACAATTATTGTAAAAACTCAAGAAAAAATTTTATTTCATGCTACAAGAACCATTCTTTGATAGTTACCAGGGATGATATGGAAGGGAGAGTAATTCACTGACATGTTAACTTGGGTGACAGGGAGGGCAGTATACAAGAGGGAGGTTGTATACGAATGATGAAGACAGGTGAGAACAAAAGGAGGTATGTAAGGCGTAAAGCGGATAGAAGTAAATAGTGTAATAAACATAACCCTAGAACAACAATGTTATTCTTCATTAGTAAATATTTTAAGTCATCTTCTCTTTCAGCAAGCAGGATTGTATCATCTGCATATCCGTTTGTTAATAAGTCTCCCTTAAATTCTGATGCCACGTTTCTTCATATAATACAGCTTTTCAAAATTATTTGGTCAGCATACAGATTGAAAAAGAATAGAGAAAGAATACAGTCCTAGCACACACCTTTTCTGACTTAAAAGTACATAGTGTTCCCTTGTTTTGTTCGAATGCCTGCCTCTCCATGTACTGGTTCCTCATGAGGACAAACAAGGGTTCTGGAATACCCATTCTTATCAATGTCATACATGGCTTATAATGATCCACACATTAGAAAGTGTCTTAGTAAAACGCAAGTAAACGTCCTTGCATCGTCAAGAAAGCACAGGTAAACATCTTTCTGGTTTTCTTTGATTTTAGCCAAGATCCATCTGACATCAGCACTGCCGATGTACTGTTGCAACCATTTTTGAGTTCTCTTCAGCAACATTTTACTTGCAGGTGATATTAATAATACTGTTTGATGCTTCCCACATTCCATCTCTCTTTGAATGGGCAAAAATATGGATCTTTTTTCAGTCAGTTGGCCAGGTATCTGTCTTCCAGATTTCTTGGCAGAGATAAGTAAGCACGTCCAGTGCTACCACAGTTTATTGAAAGATTACAATTTGCATTCCACCAATTCCTGGAACCTTGTTTTTCCCCCAATGTCTTCAGGACATCTTAGACTTCAGTCTTCATTACCACAAGTTCCTGATGATATACTCCCTCTTGCAATGACTCAACAGCGACCATTTATTTTTGGTACAGTGACTCTGTGTATACCTTCCATTTCCTCTTGTTACTTTCTGCATCATTTAGTATTTTGCCATGGAATTCTTCAATATTGCAAGTTGAGTGTTCATTTTTTCCCTCTGTTTTTTTTCAAATTGAGAAAGACTGTGTTGTACCCTTTTGGTTTTCCAGCTCCAGGTCTTTATACAGTATTACATGTCATTATAATATTATACTTTTGAGCTGCCCTTTGAATTTTTCTGTTCAGCTTTCTTACTTCCTCATTCTTCCATCTGCTTTAGCATCTCCACACTGGAGATCAAGTTTCAAAGAGCCTTCTGACATCCATTTTGGTCTTTTCTTTATTTCCTGTTTTATTAATATTATTTTGCTTTCTTCCTTCCTGATGTTCTTCTTGTCATCCCACAGCTCCTGTGGTCTTTAGGGGTTAGTGTCTAAATGCATCAAATCTCTTCTTGAGATTGTCTCTAAATTCAGGTATGACATATTCAAGATCACATTTTGGCTCTCATGAACTGGTTTTCATATTCCTCAGCTTCAGCGTGAACTTGAATATGAGCAGTAGATGGTCTGTTCCTGGCTTTGTTTTGTGAGATGATACTGAGTTTTTCTAGCATCTCTTCCCACATATCTAGTCAGTTTAATTCCCGTGTATTCCATCTGGTGAGGTCCATGTGTTAAATCACCTTTTATGTTATTTTAAAAAGATATTTGCAATGAAAAAGTAATTGGTCTTGCAAACTTGTATCACATAATCTCCAGCACTCATATCTGTCACCAAGGCCATATTTTCCAGCTATTGGCCCTTCTACTTTGTTTCCAATCATCACATTCTAATGTCTTCTAATTGCCAATACATCTTGATTGTATGGTTGATCAATTTCAAACTGAAGATGGTAGAATTCTTAGATTTTATAACATTGACTTTAGAGATGAGTGCATGAATTGGAATCATAGTGGTATTAACTGGTCTTCACTGTAGGCATGTGGATGCTTTTCTATCACAGACAGTGTTGTACTTCAAGATAGATCTTGAAATGTTCCTTTTGGTAATGAAGGCTGTGCCATTCCTTTTAAATTTGTCATTCTCAACATAGTGAGCCATATGATTGTCAGATTTGAAATGGCCAGTGCTAGTTTATTTGAACTAACTAATGCCTAGGATATCAATTTTTATGCATCCTATTTCATTTTTGACAACTTTCAATTTCCCTAGCTTCATGCTTTGTACATTCTATGTTCCAATTGTTAATGGGTGTTTGCAGCTGTTTGTCCTCATTTTGATTTGTGCCCCATCAGCAAATGAAGGTCCTAGAAGTTTTATTCCATTTATTTCATCACAGTCAACTCGTTTTTGAAGTGACAACTCTTCCCCAGTTGAATTTTGAGTGCCTTTCAACTTGAGGGGCTCATCTTCTGGCACTATGCTTTTTGTGGTGGTTGTTGTTGTTAAGTGTCATTGTGTCGGTTCCGACCCATAGCGACCCTGAACAGGGCTTCCAAGGCTGTAAATCTTTACAGGAGCAGAAAGCCTCATCTTTCTCCAATGGAGTAGCTGGTGTTTTTGAACTGCTGACCTTAAGATTCGCAGCCCAATTTGTAACCACTATGCTACCAGTGGTTAAGTGCCATCAAGTCATTTATCTCATAGACACCTTGTATAAGGTTTCCGGTAAGCGACTGGTGAGTTTGAACTGCTGACCTTGTGATGCAAACTGACTTGTTGTCCAGTGCTTATCATACAGCACCACATCAGGACTATACTGTCTCTATTCATAATGTTTCCATCTTCTATCACTATACATGGCAATGTTCTATTGCTCTTCATAAGGTCTTCAGTGGTTCAACATTCAGAAGTAGGCTGCCTCTCCTTCTTCCTAGTCCGTCTTAGTCTGGAAGCTCAGCTGAAACCTGTCCACCATAGTGAACCTGCTGATATTTAAAATACCAGTGGCATGTTGCAGGTATTAAGTGTCAAGTCAGTTCTGACTCATAGAAATGCTTGCATGTATAGAGTTTCCAAGGAGCAGTTGGTTGATTTGAATCACCAGTGCTTATTCCACAGTGTCACACCAGAACTCCATAGCTTCCAGCATCACAGCAACATGCAAACCACCACAGTAAGACAAACTGACAGAAGAGTGGTTGAAAACTAAATATAGAAAGTAGCAAACATAAAGCTCTTCTGAACCAGCAATGCTCATTTCAAGTCCTGACCTCCTGGACATTTATGCTTGACCTTCAGTGAATCCTAAGGGGATAGGAAAAGCTACCTGCTGACCTATTTTCAGGCACCAACTAGATTTGGTCTGGAAGACTTTGATTTAAGTGTGTGCTTGTGTCCCTTGGAAGTTTTACTGACTCTGCTAATCGCATACTGAGTGTGTTCTCTCTTTCTGTTTTGCAGGTAAATGTGAATGTGGTAAATGTACTTGCTATCCTCCAGGAGATCGGAGGGTGTACGGCAAGACCTGCGAATGTGATGACCGGCGCTGTGAGGATCTTGGCGGCGTGGTCTGTGGAGGTACTGACTATTTACACAACTTTATGTCACTTGCAAGCCCTTGTTCCACCTCCTTTTATTTTTTTGTTTGTGTTGCATCTTCTTTTTAAATTTACTGTTTCAAAGAAGATAAACAAAAACTAATTTGGAATTCGATCTAAAAAATATATAGAATTTAGGTTATAATGACCTTTATTTTCTTGAACTCTTAAGAGCATATTGTTGTTGTAAGGGACTCTGGTGGTGCTGTTGGTTAGGCACTGGGTTATTAACTGAAGGATCAGTAGCTCAAATCCACCAGCTGCTCTGCAAGAGACAGATGAGGCTGTCTGCTCCTGTAATGATTAACAGTCTCAGAAATCCTATATAGGGTAGCTGTGAATCAGAGTGCTCCTTGGAGGCCAGGATGGCCAAACTTCGTCTCTCATACTTCAGCCATATTGTCAGGAAGGACTAGTCACTGGAGAAGAATATCATGTTTGAAAAGGTGGAGGGTCAGAGAAAAAGAAGAAGACCCCCAGAGAGATGGATTGCAAAGTAGCAACATCAGTGGGCTCAAGCGTGCAAACAATTGTGAGGATGGCCCAGGTTCAGGCAGTGTTCCATTCTATTGTACATACGGTCGCTATGAGTAGGTACCAACTAGAAGGCACCTAACAACAATGAGTCAGAACTGACTGGATAGCAGTGAATTTGGATTTTCAGTTTGGGTGGTTGTTGTTAGATCAATTGTGGTGCAAAGTTTATGGGCTTGGCTGTTAACTGAAAAGTTGTCAGTTCAAACCCACCGACTGGTTCTTGGCAGAAAGATGTGGCAGTGTGCTTCTATAAAGATCACAGCCTTGGATGCCCGGTAGGGTAGTTCTCCTCTATCCATTAGGAGCCCTGTGAGTTGGAATCCACCAGACAGTAATAGGTTGGGTTTTTTTGTCGGTTGGTGTTAAGTGCCGACAAGCAGATTCCACTAATATTGGTCTCAGGTGAGTTATGTATATATAAGAATCATTTGGAGATCTGTTAGATTCATTTTGGGAACTGGTGAAAATGTTGTTTCTGACTCGTATTTCTGGGATGAAAACACAAATTATCACAAGGAGGTAGAACCAGAATAAACTGGTTCAAAACTGCGCCTGTTCCACCATTGTCCCCTGCATGGTATTAAAATCTGTTCATATTATGTCAGTATTATTTTTAGTTTTAAATGCTCCTTTCCCTGGTATAAATTATCTGAACTATCTAAGTAGATTGTGTTAATTATTTGGTGCTACTATAACATAAATACTACAAGTGGTGGCTTTAAAGAACAAAAAAATAATTTCTCTCAATTCTGAAGGTGAAGAGTACAAACCTAGGACTTGATTATGTCAATTCCTGTCTCCTTGGTAGCCTTCAGCACTCCTTGGTTCCTTAGAGATCTTCATGTGGTCTCTGTTTTCCTTGAATATGTGTCTCTGGGTCTGTGTTGTTATTCTTAAGTGTCATCAAGTAGATTCTGACTCATAGCGACTCAGTATGGTGTTTCCAAGGAGCAGCTGGCAGGTTTGAACTGCTGCCCTTGTGAGTCACATTCCAATGCTGATCCTATGGTGCCACACCAGAAGTCCTATCTGGATAACAGTGACACTTAATACCTATGATGCATGAACATGCACTCTACATGAACTAACTTCAGAATCACAACCACCCTGTTGTTCGTATTGCTGTGAGTGCTGTCCAGTCAATTTTGACTGATATGAAACATGAATGACCGAGTAGAACTGCAAAGGACTTTCTTGGTGTGGCACTGTTAAGATAAGCACTACATTGGTAACCACAAGGTTGATTCCCACCAGTCATTCCTCAGAAACCCTATACGGGGCCACAATGAGTTAGTTCACTCCATGGCACTTAGTGAAAATAACAACAAAACCTTTATAGGAGCCCTGGCGTGATGCTATAAGACAAGTACTGGACATGCAACTGGAAGTTCAGCAGTTCAAACCTACCAGCTGCTCTTGGAAACCCTATACAGGGTAGCTATGAGTCAGCACACAACACCAACAACCATCTTTAAAGAAGTAGATCATCAAGTCTCTCTCCAGCAAGGCACTGGGTGGATTGAAATTTCCAGCCTTTTAATGAGCAGCCAAGTGCTTGCCTAATTATATTAAAGATCTTTATTGGGTGATAACAGGAGGCGGAGGCGCAGAATATAGCTAGGTAAAGAGAGTAGGGACTGGAGCTCATCAGTCAGAGGGACAGTGTGTGCCAAGATTTAGGATGAAATGGAGAGTGTGACACATTTAGAGAACACTGAAGACTGGAGAGGAACTCTTTATGATTGGAGATTAGAAAGCCAAAAGATGTGGCACACTTTGTAAACTATGTTAATGAGTTGGGGCTCTTTACTTAAAGGGGAATAGGAGTCAAGTTGTTGCTTTAGGTAGGTGCCTTTGAGTGATTTCAGACTCATAGGTGCCCCATGTACAATAGAATGAAACACTGCCTGGTCCTGTGCCATCCTCACAATTGTTGTTACACTTGAGGCCAACGCTACTGCCCTGGTGTCAATCCATGTCTTCAGGGGCCATCCTCCTTTTTTTTTTTTTTTTAAATGGTTTATTGTGAATTATGTGACA